GCGAGGGTGCGGCCCAACCACTATTTTTGGTACACACAAAAAAAAATTAAAATAACAAAATAAAATGTTATAAATATTTGGAAAAAAATAGCATTTAGTGTTTTCTGATAAGTAAAATAAATAATTTAGTTATTGATATGTAAACTTCCATTTTATGAGCTTTTTCGTGTTGAATCACTTCCGGGTCACGAGCTGTTCGGCGCCCCAGATTCCCATAGACAAGTCATTGGCCCTGTCCCAATACCCACACTCTCACCCTCGTTCTGCCTTTGTGCTCTTAAAATGCACGTTCATGTTGACGGGTTTGAGTGCGTAGTGTGTCCCACATTCTCCACATCTGCCCTTCGCCCCACCCATTTTGGGTACTATTTCCACCCTTCCGCGAAGTCTGCATTTTTACGGACTTCAGTGAAGTGTATTACCCACAATTCATTGCAGACAGAACAGCTACCGTTTTTTTTAATAAACCTTTATTGAACATTCGAACATGGTACAAAAAATTACAATGGTACCAGGGGGAATGAAGAACTATAAATGAGATAAGAAGAAAAAAAAGTATAAATATATGTAATAATAATAATAATAATAATAATAATAATAATAATAATAATAATAATAATAATAATAATAATAATAATAATAAACATTAAATAAAATGATTACACCACAAAAAAGAACCAATCATGACAAAGTTAAATCAGGAATTCCAAAAAGTGAACAAGACATCGTAATTTTTTTTGTGCCTTCTGATTAGTAGAGAATTTATTAATTAATTTATTTATTTCCCGTTATTTAATCAGGAAAGTCCCGTTGAAATCTCAGATCTCTTTTTCAAGGGATGCCAGGGCTGAAAGCAACCTATTGTACATGTTTTTGGGGGGTGGGGGAAACCGGAGTACCCAGAGAAAACCCATGCAAACACAGGACCTTGTTGCTGTGAGGCGTCCAGTCCAGTCCAGTCCAGTCCAGTCCAGTCCAGTGATGTGGACCAGTGACCAGAGGCTTCACATGTCGGCTCACAGGGGAGGATGTTGGTGTATCTGTTCTTGGGCCTGTTGACGGGCAGGTCTGCAGCATCGTGGCTCAGGTCCAGACCCATGGTCTTCAGCTCCTGAAACGGGTCGACATGGTAACAGCAGGTCAAACAGCTGACTGGGGGTAAAACAGGGCGGAGCTTACAGCCGTACCTCAAACTGCAGAGAGAACTTGTAGGCCGAGTCTTTGCTCATTTCTTTAAAATAAACCTCAAAGTCGTCGAGCTGCACGGGGCTGAAACACACACACACACACACACACACACACACACACACACACACACACACACACACA